AGGGGCTCTCCACCCAGAGCTCCCACCTGCAGCCCGGGGCCCACCTGGGCCCTGGACACCTGCGTGGGCCGACCCCTGACCACCAACCTGTGCCGAGCCTCTCGTCGTCCTGCGGGCCGTGCCCCTCACGCCACCCTGGGGACCAGGAGTCACGGGCACCCTCTCGAGGTTCTGGCAGAGGGACGGGGCGGCCCCCAGGTACACCCGGCCGCTGCTTGCTCGCCGCTCTGGCCTGCTCTTGTTCGTGAGCTGGAGCCGGGCCTGAACCTCAGCGCTCTGGGCTCCTGCCCTGACACCCTGCCCAGGGGGCTGGGCCACTCGGTCCCTGTGCCCCCTGCTGCCTGCTCGCCCGGCTCCCAGGGCAGCACCCGCTCTGGCCGACAGACCACCGGGCCGGGAGGTGGTGCCAGGCCGGGGCCACTCCACCCCCGGATCTGGGCCCTGGGGGGGCCTGAGGCAGCCACGCCCCTTTGGACACTGTGGTTTGGAGGCCTGGCTTCCCTCAGTCCCCTTGGGCCAGCCCAGCAGGCTACCAGCCCATCTTTGCCCTGCTGGCCACATCGGGGTCCCCAAAGGCCTCCCGGGCCCAGGTGCCCTGGGGAGACAGCCAGGCATGGAGATGACAATCATGTCCACCGCGGACAAGTACCTAGGGCGGTGACAGAGGGGCCCCCACAGGCTCCTCCAGCCTCTGAGCCTCCCTGGGAGATGGCAGCCCGCACGCTATCAGGATGCCAGCGAGGGTGCCAGCCTCGCCCCCACCTCACGAAGCCAGGGATCCGGGGCCCAGGCGGGCCCAGGGTCCCCTGACTGCCCTCTCGCAGTCCCTGAAGCTGGCCTGGCCCGAGGGGAACCTGGGGAAGCCTCGGAAAGCCCAGGGGCAGTGGCGGGGGGCGGGGGAGCGGCAGCTTGGTACGGGGGACCGCATGGCCAGCCCTGGGGCTCCAGGCCTGCCAGCCAGAAGCGTCCTGCTGGCAGAGACAGACCGAGAGGAGTGGGCATCGAGGTGGCCACACGAGGCCATGGCCCAAGGGACAGGGGTGCGTGTGGGTTCGGGAGGCCGACGCACCCTGGCTCAGTGGTTTGCGATCTGCTCAAACCAGATTCAGGGTGCACCGCGGCCGCTGCTGGCACCCAGCTCGTCACAGACAGAGGCGGCGTCCCTTCCCCCCTGCACCCAGGGGTGGGTGCTGGGAGAGCCCAGGCGGCCCGCGGCGAAGGGCCAGGGTGAAGGGGTGGGAAGGGAGTGACCTGGGCCGGTCGGCAGCCTCTCCGAGCCCGGTTCTCCCAGCTGTGCGACGGAGGCCGGAGCTGTATTTCTTAGGCATGGACGGACGCCAGCCAGCCACAGCGAGGGTGGCAGGATGTCACCGGCCTGGCACGGCCTCTCACGTCCCCGTGGGCATCGCCGGGTCTGGGGCCTGGAGGGCGTGAGGCTGAGCTCACGTCCACCTGCGGCCTGGGGTCTCGCTAACGGCACCAGACAGACACGCGTTCCTCTCTTTACGAGGGGTGCTCCCTCGCCCCTTCCTCCCCTTCCCCGGTGAGAGTCCCCAGGGAGTTCAAAGGGACACACCCCTCTGCCCAGACCCACTGGCGGGCCACCTGCAGGCCCACCTGCCCCCACCCTCGGCCGAGCTGCAGCCGCCCCCTTCCCACCCAGAGCGACGGCCTGGTGCTGGACTCAGGAGCGGAGGCAAAGCCACAGAGAGATGGACGCTTGCGGCCCACGTCCTCCTGTGACGAGCAGCGTGTGCCCAGCCAGGCTCTGGGCTATTCCTTCAGTCCCCAGAGGCTGTGCCCCTCCTCTCTCAGGCCTCAGTTTCCCCATTTGTCAAGTGGCACTGGCTAGCCATGGAGATGGCCACATCGCTCCCTGGGGGATTCGGCGGTGACTCCTGGGAGGACATGTCGCAACCAGGAGGAGCCTGGAGAGGACTGTGGGGCCCCGGCGGTGACTGTCAGGGGCCGCCTCAGAAGCGGGCAGGTGGGGCTGGCAGGGAGCCTGCCCGTGGGTCCCGGCCTGGGTGGTAGCCTTCGGGCCGTACCAGGAGGGGCCTGGGAGAGGGCCAGCACCGTGTCGTCGGGGACCCGGCGGCATGGCTGGAGAAGCTCCCGAGGTGGCCCTGGGTGGGCCTGGCAGAGCCGAGAGGCGCCCACGGGAACTCTCCCGGCACGGTCCCCGCCGCCAAAGGAGGCGAGAAGCAGGCTCACAGGCCTCCCGGCGCGGGAGAAGCCGAGGCGGGCTGCGTGGAGGGGGCGGCGTTCTCGCTGGGCTGCGGGCCGCCGGTGCCGGGAAGGGTGGAGGAAGGGCATTGAGGCGGCTCAGAGGGCAGCGGCGAGCAGCCCGCGGCACGGACCAGTGGCCCTGGCCGGCTCGCGGCCGAGCTCTGCAGGCCCCCGGCCCTTTGCCTCTGCTCCATCTCCATGACACTGGGAGGCAGGTGCACAGCGTCCCTACTTTACAAAGGCACGAACTGAGGCCCAGAGAGCAAAGGGCGCTGGCCCGAGGCCCGAGGAAGCAGGAGCCGGGGTTCTGGCCCGAGCAGGTGCCACGGCCCAGCGCTGGTGCTCTGGGGGCGGTGGGTTCAGAGCCCAGTTTCACCGTCAGTAACGTAAGGGTGACCGGAGGGTCCCCAGTGGTCAGCGGGACCACAGGTGAGGCCTCAGAAGCTGCTTGAGCACATGCTCTTCATCCCGAGAGCACTGGGCGGGGGCAGAGTCCCCGGGGCCAGGGGAAGGTCCGCAAGCAGAGTGGCCGCTGCCTGGAGCCCGCGGGCGGGCGGGTGAGGAGGACGGGACGCACGGCCGGCCAGCCTGGCACAGCCCTCACTCCGCCCACGGCCCCAG